GCTGTAGGTGCATGTTTATTTCATGTTTTTTATGATAAAAATATTTAAAAACATGACCGTACAAATGATAAAAGTATTAGAATTGCAACCACTAAATTTTTTTAATTTTTCTTTCGCCATATTTTTATTTAAAACATATTCTTTTCTCCTGTTTGTTTGTCACTCAGAATTAAATCAATATTTACGACCATACACGCAGACTTTCTGTGCATTATTCCGTCTTTCTGCATTCTTGGTAAATCATGCGACGACACTCGCTTCGTCCGCCATTACTAGCTTTAAAAAAATCTCCGGTCGGGCCGCAATGCATTATGGGATATGCTGGGCCGGGAAGGATCCATCGGACCTGTCCTCCGATTCGGGCCAAAGGAAGGACGTATTTGTCGGCCGCATCGGAGGAGTCTTCGGTTTGGGACGTCCTTCGTCGTGGCGCTGTGACGTATGCGGCCGACGAATTCGACCTTCGGAGGACCCGGCCTGCCGTTTTGGACACAGCCAATCTGTTATAGATGAACATTGAATGATTACTTTTTGAGGCTTTCATTAAAGGTTACCCAGTGGTTCATGAGATATTTTACTAACAGACAAACAACCATAACAGCAGTGAGGCGGCTTAATTTATGGCAGCAGGGAGGAGGATGGGCTCAGTGATGGCCTGTGCTAACTCAAACAAGAGCCTGGTATTATTTGCCCCAAAGTGCAGTTTTGTAGTGTAGCTTTCTCCCCCTACATTTTCCAAAGAGCAGATAATTAAATTTTTGTTGTTTGGTGGGAGGAGGGCGGGCGCTCAGGCCATGGACTCTCTTTGCAATTATTGTGCAGAAGGAACCTCCTTTGCGTTCGGGTGCTACGTTTCCCAGCACAATGAAGATTAATTAGGTCTTAGCAGCAAATGACTGTAAGGCCTCCTCTCATCTGTAAAACGCAGTTCACCACTAATGGCAGCAGAGTGACAAATACGTAGAACTGTTTGTGTAAAAATGTTTCGGATAGTTTTGTGGCCCTGATCTGTTAGAGTACACAACCTCGGTGTTTGGTTTTGTTGTCACGTAGTCGGCTCGAAAAATGACCATTTTTGTGCGTTTGCTGTGCATAAAAAAAAAGCCTGGGCAATCAGTCCGAGTGTCAGGAGCACCTGGTTCGTTTGTTCATGTCACACTGGTCAGCAATGCAGAAAATTACTGCGCACCACTAAATGGAAAAACCACTTGAATGCATGTGTTAATTAGATCTCTGCATGGCTTTGTGAAGTGTCTCTCCTCCTCTGCCCGTGAGTCATGTGCTGACTCTTTGACCTGTCACCGCAAATCTGCAGCCTTTGCTGAGGGCGAACGGACAGAAGAGCAAGCTTGCTTTGTTTCTTTTCCCAGCGAGCCACTGACAAATATATTTAAATGTATTGATCCACGCTGTGGTGAGGCGTGGCGTGACACCGTGGCTCCTGTAGTTCACAGACTGTTGTAGATGATCCAGAAATAAGAATACAGATAATACAGGTCTTTTTGTTTAAGAGTGAAAGYCTGAAAACAGTTTATGTACAGTATAAATACAACGCACACCTGCAGTATGTAGTTTTCAGGATACAAGTGCT